CAATGAGTTTTTTTTTTTTTTTTTTTAAAGATTTTATTTTTTTCCTTTTTCTCCCCAATGCCCCCCGGTACATAGTTGTATCTTCTTCGTTGTGGGTCCTTCTAGTTGTGGCATGTGGGACGCTGCCTCAGCGTGGTCTGATGAGCAGTGCCATGTCCGCGCCCGGGATTCGAACTAACGAAACACTGGGCCGCCTGCAGCGGAGCGTGCGAACTTAACCACTCGACCACGGGGCCAGCCCCTCAATGAGTTATTTTTAATTTGCTCTGTTGACTTTCTATTTTATTATCCAGTCCATATGCTAGAGATTTTAAGTTTGTTTGTGTAATTAACTCATTTGTTCTTTGAGCTCCTGCTCCACTTTTCCTGTGTCCAGGGAGGAGCTCATCTGCCCCAGGCTGTAAGGACACCAGGCCATTCCCATCCCTGCCTGCTCCTCTGTAACAGTCGTTCCTTATGAGCATCACTCTGAACACAAACGTGGGGCTCTCCCCAGAGGCTTTGGTGCAGAACTGCCTGGGTATTTCTCCTCTCTTCCTCATCATTGGATTTTAACTAAAATTTTCTTAGGATCAGGAATAACCTATCTTTATCCAATACAAAACAGGTAAGGAACTCAGCCCCAAAGATGGTGGCAGTGTCTCCACTACAGTCACTCTCAGAGCTGGGAACCAATGGCTCTGTGGAGCCAGGGTGCTTGGGAGCTAAGGCCTCTCTTCCCTGACCTGTCCCCTCTCTAGAGAGTTCAGCCATGTCCAACAACATTAATTAGTGAATATGGAACACCCACAATGAGATGGGCCCTATAAAAGTATTTAACATATATTTTTGAATATAAATCTTACAGCAGCCTCATGACATGAGAATTATTATTATTCCCATTTTACTGATAAGGAAAAAAGACTCAGAAAGAGATTAAGTCACAAAGTTGCTAAGTGGTGGAGTTGGGATTTGAACCCAAGTTGCTCTGGCTGCAAGGCTGTGCTGCTCCCTCCGAGGCCCACCTTTTCTGCTGTGTTAGGCAGGGTCAGAGGGGCTGAATCATCCTTAGTAACCAACTCTGGTTAATCTTGTGTGTCAGGGTTGAGGTTCAGGAGGTCTGGGTCAAGGCAAAGCACTACAGATAGTGCAGTGTTTATTAGTGGTTGACGTGCCCAAATCAAATTTCTAGACTTGCAAAGGGAGACCCCATCACTATCCTGCCACTCTCTGAGGCTCTGACCCCCTCCTACCCCTCTGGCACTTCTGGCCTCTTCTCTGGAGGGAAGAGAAACCAACGCTCACTGAATACTTACAGTGAGCCAGGCAGAGTGGTAGGCACTTCATCCTGTGTCCTCAGTTAATCCTCACAACCACCCACCTTCTAGATAAGGAAATGGAGAGGGTGAGTACCCTGCTGAAGTCCCCACAGCCAGAAAGTGGCAGCACGAAATTCACAACCAAGATGGATCTTGGTGAGCTGCTGGTGTGTCTATAACGTTCACCAACTGTGATTTCCTCACAGGCAGGACTCTTGTACAGACTGTGGGCACTTGGTAAGTGTTTGCTGCCTGACGGGGCTGCGACGGGGGTTCTTTGTGCAAACCTCTTATTCCCATCTGGTCTCTTCCCCCAGCCGTAAACTGTGGAGACTAACACTAGCCCATCCTAATTCCCAGGGGCGTGAGAAAAACAAGGGAGGCATAATCTCTAAATTTAGCAACAATAAATAGATAGTAAACTCAATGCCACGGAGCTAAGGGGAGGGCAGGACATTCTGAAATTGCTTAGTAGCTTTGTTTTTTTTAAGATTGGCCCTGAGCTAACATCTGTTGCCAATCTTCCTCTTTTGTTTTCTTCCTCAGAGCCCCAGTACATAGTTGTAAGTCACTCTAGTTCCTCTATGTGGGACGCTGCCACAGCATGGCCTGACGAGCGGTGTGTAGGTCTACACCCAGGATCCAAACCAGCAATCCTCGGGCTGCCGAAGAGGGGCAAGCAAACTTAAGCACTCGGCCACAGGGCCGGCCCAGCTTAGTAGCTCTTTGTGGGATAACAATAGCCATAAAATGCATCATCCTCTGGCCTGGCCATTTCATCTTCAGGAATGTATAAGCAATGAGCTGACTTAAAGAAAAGAAGAGAAAGGAAAAAACCCACAAACCTATAAAAAGACTTTTAAGATGCTCTATATAATGGCCCCAAATTGGAAACAATCCAAATGCCTAGAGTTAGGGGGGATTAGGTAAATTGGGGTTCTTCATACAATGCAGCTATGCTGCCATTCAAACTAAAAAATAGCTGGACAATGTAACCATAGGGAAACTTCCACCTAAAATGACATCCATCAAGAAATACTAGAAGCTAATGGTATGTAAACAGTGATCACAATAATCTTATAAATTATGGGGAATTAGACACAATAGAGACACTTGGTATTTATTTTGTTATATATTTGTATCTTACTGCTTATTTCTAGTGTAAAGATGGCTAGTCAATAAAAAAGAAAAAGCAGAGAAGATAATAGGTAAAAGCATTTGTTCTCAAAGACGAGAAATCCAAGCAATGTGCTGAGGGACCCATTTATGCTCAGTCCCGGGGGCTGAGCCAGGCTGGGTTTTACCCTCTGCAACATCAGTAAGGACCATCCACCCTTAATGTACCATGCTCTGTGCCCTCACAGGGGTGGGTGGGGGAAGAATTGGGGGCACAAATGCCACCAGGAGAATCATGGAATGCCCACCAGGCACCCTTCAGGCATGGAATGCCTAGCCTGGACAAATGCATCGAGGCACAAGTGTCCACAGCAGATGTCCACACACTGTGAGCCCCCAAGGGCAGCAGGTACCCCGAGAGATAGTGCCTAGAAGAAGAGAAGCTCCCACCAGTGGCCAAGGGAACTTGGCACCTGTCCCCTCTGCCAACGCTCATGCACACTCTGGACTTCTCAATCCAAGAAAAAAGAAGCATGGCATTCTCCTCTCTCTCCTTTCCTATTCTGAGGCACGGAGGGTAGCTCCCAGGTGACCCTCTCCCTGTCAGTCCCAACCAAGCACCAACTAATGTAATGATAGGGGAGGATGAAGGTGTAGGGAAGAAATAACAGTGATAATAGTAATAACAGTTAACCTTTACGGAGCAGATACTAAGTGCCAGGCACAGTGTGGAACCGTTTACAGGTATTACCTCATGTAATCCTCACAACAGCCCTCTGAAGTAGATACTAATATGATTCCTACTATACAAATAAGCAAAAGGAGGCTCAGAAATGACCTGCCCAAGGCCTCATAGCAGCAAGTAGCAAATTAGGACTCACATCCATGTCTGTCCTCCAGCAAGAACCTCCAAGGTTCATGTTAACGGATGGAAGCAAGCCCTGCCCCCACCTCCTTTGGTTCACCTTCACTGTTGTCTTTCCATGACATCACTGGCCAGAATAACAGCTTGGGTAGAAAGCAGAGGTTCCCATGGCTAACCTGCCCCTCCACCCATAACCCGAATAAGCTTTACACAGAGATGCTCGAGAAACTGGAGCTCTGCAGGCAGCGGCCTAAAGGCCCTGCTGTCAGCCCGAGGAAAAGGGGGAAAAGAGCTTGGCAGGGACCCCCTGGCCCCTTTGGTCCAGCCTCCAGAGAGAGCTGTCCCCTACCCAGGGCGGAACAGAAAGCAGCCAAAGCACCCGCAGTCGCTACTGGCTAGCCCGGAGGAAGCAGGTGCACTATGTAAGCCATTCGGCTTCCTGCTGCCACTGCAGTTGCAGAAGGGCCTGGGTTCCTCCTCCAACGGCCGGACCTGCTGGAGGCCTTGCTTCCCTAGGGACGCTCCCTGCAGGCCACTGTGCCATCTGCCTGGCCATCATCGTACAGAGCCTTGACTCTGTGACCTGGTGCTGGTGGCCCGGGGCCCAGGGTGGGGTGGGGCGGGGTGGGAAGTCAGCTAGACCAGGAAGTACCCACTTCTTGGCAGGGGGTGAGGGGGGACACAGAAGTCTTGCAGGCCCCAACCTGGGCCTGACCACACACACCTCGGCACTGGTTTTGTGGTGGGGGTGGGGCAGTCCTTGGGCACAGAGAGATACAAATGCTCATGGGCGCATCTCAGGCTCCTAATGTACCTCCGCCCCAGGCCAGCCCACACACTCTGCCAACTGCTGACACAACCGAAAACCTTACCCTTGGTGGCTGGGAGGGGTGGCGTGGGGGGAACAGAATGGACTGGGAGGCAGCTATGTCTCTCCTCACTTGCTTTTTTAAGGAACTTACTCCTTGGAGTAATCTCTGCTAAAAGGGAGACCTACAGACAGTCAGGGCATCCCAGAGATGCCATCTGTGCCCCTTCCGAGTGTCAGATCCACAGAAAGGGAGGAGGCCGTGCTGGGTCCCCTCTTGGAGAGAGTGAAAGGGGGAATCCCTGACAACTCCAAGGACCACCCCTCCTGAGCCCCTCTCTTGTCTACCAAGAGGAAGGGGGCGGAGGACTATACCGGCGACATGAAGCAGGGGACAATCCTTCCAAAGGCCTGGGAGGTGCTGGGGTTCTGGGCTCCGGAAGAAAATAACGTTCCAAGGAATGAAGGCCTCAAGCACTAATGGTTCGTGGGGGAGGCATGTCACAGCCTGTGGGGAGGCTGACACAGTCCCAGGACACTGAGGTTTAGAAGACAGTCGCCCCCTCCAAAGCCCTCAAAGTCATGAGTCAGGCCCAGGAGGCCCTGCCCCTCGCCTCCGTGGGGCTGTGTGGCTGCCGGCGCTGGTAACTCCCTCCCCACCAAGAGGCTCAGAGACAAGCCCCAAGGCAGTCCTTCTCCAGCCCTCCCTACCTTCTTCAGTCACATCTGAGGAAACAAGAAAAAGGCCCCTCCTTTCCTAAATGAGGAAGCAGCATGAGGAGCCCGGGACATTTCCGGGGTGGGGGTCAGAGGGACACTCACCCGCATGGCCTGGCCTGGAGCAGCCCAGAGCAAGGAGTCTCCTCTCCGATGCTGCTCCGTTAGCAGCTCAAAATAGCACTGGCTGCAGCCCCGCCCCTGTGCCCCTCCCTCTCCCCAGGCCCCTCCCGTCCGGAGCTGCCAACCCTGGCCGAAGCCAGTCGGAGAGTGAGTGGCCTGGAGGACTGCGGGTACCAGGTATGCCGGGAGGGAGAGGGTGATACACTTGCGTGGAAGGGAAGGAGGAGGCTCTTAGAGCAAGGACATGGGTGGGGGGCAGGCAGTGCTGGAGGGTTAGGGGCAAGGGACAGGGAGGGTGGGACTTTCCTACTGACACACACCCGGGCACCCGGACAGCTGAGCTGATACGGCCCCTAAAAATAGCAGAGGAATTTGAGACCTGCAGCCCCCGGCCCCACAGGCCAGGATCGAGACAAGCACATGCGCATTCACGTACACACACACTCCCCAGCCCGCACGAACACTGAATCACAGCACAGCGTTCCTGAGAACACACAAATCATAGGCTCACCCCAGCCATCTAATTACTGCGGCAGAGGCCAAGTAACGTCACATCCAATATGACACACAGGGCCCACACTGTGCCCAAACAGCAGCCACACAGTCATTCTGTGAAGTCCAGCAAGAGCAGAGACCCAGACAATCAGTCTGAGGCCCACTGTTGCTGCCTCGTCATAACAAATACACTGGGGATAGGTATGGAATCAATTGCACTCTCTGCGTATACATGCCTCTGCCCCCACACAGCCAGTGATGGTGCAGGCACAGAGGGCGGGGTAGGTGGGATGTGGTGAGTGGGCCTTGACTCTGCACACAGAGGAAATCGTGGGTGTCTGGCCAATGAGCAAGGCCTGCCGGTTCATAAAGAGAACCTCTGGCCTGACTCTTCAGTTAGCCCCACAGGATGCCCAGACCAGGGCTGGGGCACCCCCGAGAGGCTGAAACGGGAGCTGGGAGCAGGTAGGAAGGAGCCAAAAGACAGGTCTTTTGAAGCTGTCTCAGAAGCTGTCAGCTGTGCGGTAAAAAGGAAACAGGCGTTGCCTCCCTCTTCCTCTCCAGGGAAAAAAAAAGGGCGAGGGTGGGGGAGGTACGAGGAAGCCCTGGAGCAGAGCTGTCTCCTAACCAGTGCCCAACCAGGGTGGCTAGAGACCCCAGGCCTCTCACCCGGCCCGTCCTGTGAGCCCAGTGCGTCCAGTAAAGCGTATTGCTCTCTCTATGAAAGGGTTGGCAGGCACTGCCTGAGAGGACCAAAGCCCAGCTCTGCCTCCTACCTACCACTCACTGTACAAACAAGGTCACACACACCGGCCATTAGGACACAGGGTTCATCCTCTGCTTTCTAGGGAGTAGGAAGTCTTCCTGGAGAGATCGTCTGGCCTTTCTGGAGTGCGTGCTGTGTCACAGACCTTCTTATCCCCATTGCTTTCTTGACAGAATGGTGCCAACTTTGGCTGCACACTGAAATCTCCTGTGGGACTTTAAAAATACTGAAGCTTAGACCCCACCCCTTCCCCCTAGTTTCTGATTTAATTGGTCTTGGAGGGAGGCCTGGGCACTGGGATTTTTAAAAGCTCCCCCAGGTGATCCTTACAGGCTGCCAAGGCTGAGAGCAGCTCAACTGGAAGACCAGCATGAGGCCTAGTGCAGGGGTGCCCATCTGATGAATGAATGAATGAGTGAATGAATGACTTAGCTGTGTGACTCAAAGGTCCCTCATCTGTAAAATGAGGATTATGCTGCACTGACTCTTTCATATGGTTAGTAAGAGATGGGTGCAATCTCAGTTAGTGAAAGGGCTTTGGTTCTCAAAGTGTGGTCCCCAGACCAGCAGCATCGGCATTACCTAGGAACTTGTTGGAAATGTAATTTCTAGGGCTCCACTGTGACCTACTGAATCAGAAACTCTGGAATATGGGGCCCAGCATTTGTGTTTTAACCGGCCCTCTGTGTGACTCTGAGAACCATTGCTTTAAAGGAATTACTTGTGGTGTGCCGTGGTTAAGTTAGTGAGAGCTCCAGAGCCAGCTGCCTGGGTCGGTCTCGGTTCTTCCATGCAGTGAACTATGCAACTTAACCCTGCACTTCGATGTCTTCCTCTGTAAAATGGGGAAAATAATCATGCCTGCCACAGACAGTTACTGTAGGGGTTAAACGAATTAGTACTTGCAAAGCTCTAAGAACTTTTAGTGTCCAGTATGTAAGTTTTCAGTAAGTTTTAGCTATTATTATCCATCTGTGATTGCTGGGGGGAAAAAGAGGCATTATAAGCAAAATTTCCAAGTAACTGAAGCCTACTGCCTTTAAGGGACAAAATATTTTCTATTTTCAGTAATTTTCTAAATTCTATTACCATTTACAAACATCAAAATAACATTTTATTGGGGCCGGCCTGGTGGCACAGGAGTTAAGTTCGCACGTTCCGCTTCTTGGCAGCCGGGGGTTTGCCAGTTCGGATCCCAGGTGCGGACATGGCACTGCTTGGCAAAAGCCATGCTGTGGTAGGCGTCCCATGTATAAAATAGAGGAAGATGGGCATGGATGTTAGCTCAGGGCCAGTCTTCCTCAGCAAAAAGAGGAAGATTGGCTGTAGTTAGCTCAGGGCTAATCTTCTTCTTCAAAAAGAAACATTTTATAGACTGTAACTTTCTTAAGTAAAACACTCTAAACTCATCTCAAGCTGAGCTTCCCCTCTCAAACCCAATCGTTTCACTACATCCTGTACTGAAGGGCACACTGTCCCCACCATGATGACTCCTGACTTCCCAGGCTAGTGCCTGCCCCACCAGTGCCCCCAGCCACTCTCAAAGGGCACCAGCCATCCCAGGCACTGCAGTCAACCTGCGGCCTTGCTCTACGCCCACGTTAGGAAGGCCAGACACCCTCTGTGTCTGTATATCTACATTTTAGTTCTTTTCTCCTCTACCCCTGTTGAGCCGTCAGCTGTCACTCTTCCTGTCAGTGTACCTGTCTCCAGCAGTCTCACTTCCTTCTAATATGCTGTTTCTGCCACAGGCTAGTAAACCAGATAACCAAGCCTGATAGAACAGAGTCCAGAGTACAACAGAGGGATATCAGCAAAACTGCAGGCTCTCCTGTGAGTGAAGGGCCTGCGTTTTCACATGCTTACCTAGCATCCTCTATTCTGGCTGCTTGAGGGCCTTCTAGGCCTACCTGCCATTCAGCAGTGCTCTGGAAGATGACTTCTGGGTGACTGAGGTGGCGCTGTAGCTGCACAGTCTTGTTCTGAATTACTAGTAACCACGTGCCCAGCCGCTCCTCTTTCCTATTGGGATGACTAGATCCTGTCACTTCCGTCTCTGAGATGACTGGCATTACTGACGGAGATCTCTCAAAGCAGTTTCACCTGCTTTAGTGAGAAGGGCAGACCTCTTCATTCAGAGGAGACACCTGAGGCCCTGGCATCCCACTCAGCTTCACACACAACCACAACCAGTCCCTATGCTGCTCAAAGGTCGGTGCTGTCTCAGGGCCAGGTCCGTGTCTTCAATCAGCCTGACCTGTGGTGCTGGGGGCCATGGTCACTCCCACAGCCAGCCAGACCACCTCGAGGCCCCTCGGCCTGCCTCCAAGGACAGCCATAACCTGGCCCCTCCTCACACTTCCCCTTCACTTTTCTGTCTCCCTCTCCCCCTCCCCAGCCCAGCAGGCTCTCACTCTCAGGCAGATCTTCCCAGGGTGCCCTGCCCTCACCACCACCAGAGCCTTTACGTATGAAGGCCTCTCCACCAGCCGCTGGACTTTGCTCCCCATCTCTCAAGGTCCATCTCAAGTCCCACTTCCATTATGAAACCTTCCCCCAAACCCAAGGCCCGCATGATAACCTAGTGCAAAGAGCATGGCCTCGCAGTCAGACACAGCTGGGTCTGCATGCCAGCTCAACCTCTTTCTTGCTCTCTGAGTTAAGGGAAACTCAACTTCTTAGGGTTTTTACTTTTTCGCCTTACAATAGTACACCTACCTTATGGGGCTGTCGTGAGAATTTAAAAAGATAGTAGGTACACTGTATCTGTACCAATGTACCAGGCGTGGTACATTGTAGGTAGTGATTAAATTATTATTAAAAACCACAGTACTCACTGTCTATACCTGAATATCACCACACACACCTGGTGGTTCTTGATTATACTCAGTGTGGTGCTGTTAGATATGGAGGACTCACATATTACACAGCATGTAAGGCAAAAACAGAATATGGTCAAATTTACTCTTAAAATTTCCTTAAATTGCTCATAAACTATAGTACACATGATTTTGTATATACTAATCTATATAATATACCTGCATGAAAGCATAATGTATACGGTCATGGACAACATAATAAAAATACACAAAATACAACGTTTACAATTTTAGATGACAGGAATATAGTTTCTTACACAACCATATAATTGAATTTATTGAAGTTTAATGTGCTATATGCCACAACTACACAGCATAAACTAACGTTTTGGTGGTAAACTATTTGTGTTGTATGTTGAAGCCTTCTCTCCCCGGAGAACCAGGACATTTCCTACTTCTCTTGGATCCCACCCAACTCTCCAGCACTAGGCACACAGTAGGTGTTCAACAAATATCCATTGGACTTAACTAACTGACCTGCGATAAACGGGGTGGAACAGAATGGGGAACAAAGGGATATCCAGAAAGAGTAACAAGTAACTACTCTGCTCTCTGACGCTAGTGGCATGGGGCAGGTGAAAGGTCCCTGGCTCTGTTTCTGGCAACTGGCCAGGCAGAGCAGCTAAGCAGAGCTGGGGGCAGGCTAGACAGTGGTTCTAAGGAGGAAAGGAAGTCATTCACTTCTTCAACTAGCAGCGACCAAGGTGAATACTGTGAGAAGCACAATGCCTGCTTCTTTTTTGGTCTCCTCCCCACTAGATTGTGAGCTTCTTGAGGCTAGTTTAGAGGGAGAAATTTTGGAAAGCATTGAGACTGAGGTTCTAATTAACATCTTAACAAAAGAATACTCCTCTGACCTCATTTGTCTCTCTAGTTCCCCTTTAAATCAAAACTTTTTTTTAAAAAAGGGGCTACAGGGGCCGGCCCAGTGGGCAGCAGTTAAATGCCCACGTTAGGCTTCAGCGGCCTGGGGTTCGCCGGTTTGGACCCTGGGTGCCCACATGGCACTGCTTGGCAAGCCATGTTGTGGTAGGCGTCCCACATATAAAGGAGAGGAAGATGGGCACGGATGTTAGCTCAGGGCCAGTCTTCCTCAGCAAAAAGAGGAGGATTGGTGGCAGATGTTAGCTCAGGGCTAATCTTCCTCCAAAAATAAAAAATAAAAAAGGGGCTATAAACACTGTCTCCATATACGGATAGTAATTGTACAGTGCTTGTCTAATTACTAATTTGCGATGTATAAAATGTCACTAACAGAACTCTTTAGGTAGGGAAGTTGCGGGAGTCTTGTTTTGAGTACTCAGCTCTTGGGCCTGGGGAGGGCCTGGAGCACCTATGCTTCCTGGGGTAGAAGGGCTCCCTATACCACGGTTACAGACGCATTCTCTAGAATGGCTACTGCAAAGGTTCCTCAGCACCACTGCATTCCCTCCCTTGGGAAAGATTATCCTTTATTCCTTATTTTTCGGTGTGTAACAAATGTCTTCTCTGTTATGAGGTAACAGTGTTAGTAGACGGTGACTGGCATCCTTTAAGGCACGGAATTCTTTTTGAAATTTTACTGGGCATCGATGACCCGCGTACCCAAAGTGGAAGTGGACAGACCCTCTCGAAGAAGCCTAGGGACGGCCGCAGGGAGGGAAAGGAGGGCTGAGAAGAAACCTGCCGGGACCAAAGGTGCACACCCGCGGCTGGGCTCAGAGGCTCCCGCCCTAGGGGTGGGTCCCGGGCGAACGCAGAGGACTCCGCCCCAGGCCCACGCTGCTGCCGGCTTCCCCGTTCCGCACGGCGCGGGGGCGGGGCCGAGGGCGGGGCCAGGCGCGGCACATGCGCTCAGAGCCCCGGGATGCACCCGCCCTGCAGCGCCGCTAGAGCCCGGCAGAGGGCGGCCGCCTCCTTCTTACCAGCCCGCCGGCTTCGCGGCCGCGGGATTTCACCTCCTCCGGGCCGGCCTCCTGGCCCCGCCCCCAAGAGGCGTCCCCCGGGAGCTCAAGGCTGAGGGGGCTGCTGCGGCAAGATGGCCTCTGCCTTACTCTGGAGGGATACGCCAAGAAGAGGCAAGGATAAGCTCAGCGCCAACTTTGCTTTCATCACCGCTCCATCCCCAAAGCCCAAAACAGCCCCTTCATATAATAGGCACTCAATAAATGCTTACTGATGGAATCAAATGGATGGATGGCTACATGAATAAACAGAAGACTCCAGGGTGGCCTTGAGCCTGTGTACTGGGGAGAGGTCTGGGACAAGCAATTCAGGAGGGTCAGTGGGTGTGGGGTGGCCAGCCCTAGATCACTGCCCCAGAGGTGGTCACTGAGGCTTAGGGCTCAGCACTCCCCTAGGCCCTGCCCTGAAACACTCAGAGGTTTGCTCAGAGCCTGGTGACACCACACTGTCTCATGAGCACAGAGCCCAAGCAGGGACGTCTGGGCTTGTCCCCTCAGAGTCAGGTCCTGGCAGCCTGCAGGGACCACCTGACTGGCGGCTGCAGTAGGCTTCTGCTCCCTGAGGACTCTGGCTGCTGGGGATTTCCTCATGGCCCCTGGGGATTTCCAGACTGCCTCTGCTTCCCAAGCTCCCACCAGGCCCAAAGCCAAGGGCCAGCCTTGAGGATGGTCCCCCAAATCCTCCACAGCCCTGCCCCAAATCCCACCAAGACTTGGGTCACTTCTGAGTCTACTACATGCACCACACACGATATTCCCATCCCCACCCGCTCTGGCAGACATGAGAGAATAAGCATAATGAAGTATTGTTCTCTTTTTCACACAAAGGACAACTCTTCTCTATGTCCACAGAAGAAAAAAATGAAACCCAGTTTAAGGGTCAGCCACACTGATTTAAGTAAAATATCAGTACGGTCTTCTGGGGTGTGAGAGTTGGAGGCCTGTGAGGCTTATTCTCAAAGTCAGAGAGGTTCCTTTAGATAAGCCCCAGGTTCCTCTAAACACTGGACATTCAATAAAGGTTTGAGGATCTGTGTGTGCACCTCTGGAGGCCCTATTTGGGCCTGTTTCTAGAAGCCTTTTAAGTAAAAATAAACCAAAACCCAATCTCCATAGAAGCAGGAAGGAAGAAGCAAAAGCTTCTTCTCCAACCAATCCACCACCTCCGCATTAACAGCCCTGGCCAAATCCACGGGGCATGTGAGCACCTGTGTGTTACAAAGCTGGGCAGAAAACACGCTTGGCGAGGTGGGGAAGCACTGCCCCAGCTGTGGTGGCACATGGCCAGGGACCTGTTGGCCGCGGGGCATCAGGATTCCAGAGTTGATGAAGTATAGAAATTGCCAGAGAGGACAAGCCTTCCTTCCTAGGAGGAAGGAAAAACGCCACCATCCTCAGCCCAACCAGGGCGACTGCAAGAGGAGATGAGCCTCTAAGAGCACCTCACCATTTCTTCTGAGAGCTGTTTAGAGCTGCACTGTTCAATATGGCAGCCACCAGCTATGTGTGCCTATTTAAATTGAAGGCAAATCAAAATAATGGGAATACTTCTGATTAAACTAAACTAAAATGAAATTGACAATTCAGTTCCTCAGGTATACTAGCTACATTTCAAGTGCTCAAAAGCCACCTGTGGCTGATGGCTACCAAGTTGGAAAACACAGAATATAGAACATTTCCGTCTTTGCAGAATGTCATATTGGACAGGTCGGGTCTAGAGGATTTCCCTTTTAGCTTGTCTTGGTCATCCTTGCCAAAGACTCCTTCAAGTATTGCCCCTGACCACCTGCTGTTCTCTCCCACTCCTACCCTGGGGTTTGCTTGGAATCCTGTCCCCATGGGCCTTGCCTTCACCCTTAGGCCTCAGAAGAAATAGGGGAAGGGACCATAGCCACAATTTAACACCCAGCCTGGGAGCAGAAACCAGATGCAGAGGGGCTGAAAAGGCAAGGCTGAATGGAAGCCAGCCCCCACCCCAAGGCATCCCAGGACCGGGAGAAAGCCCCTCAGTGCCACACAATCGTTCCTTGTTTCTGCAGTGTCTGGATCATGCATGGGTAAGACATCTGGAATGTAGTGGCCTGAGGGCTTCCCCACATCACCCGCTGCTGGGCTCATCTGATGTTAGTGCTCCCAGAGAGAGAAGTCCCAGCAGAGGCCTGGCTTTCAAGGGCAAATAAGGCCAATGAAGCCTCATCCTGAGCAGCGTGCCCAGGGTTCTGCCATGGGGCAGTGAGGACCACAACTGGACACCTCCTTACTTCGCCAGCTGGATGAACCAAATGAGGACGACGGGGAGGAGGACATGGTGGAGAAGGGATTCCAGGGCATGCTCACCATGCCAGAGAGGCTCAAACAAGCTCCCTGGCCCTGGATCCATGGGGAACAACGGGAGAGGGCATGGATCTGACTGCTATCACATTCCATCGCAGGCAATGAATTTGAAAGGTTTTGCTACAGTAGTTAGAAAATCCAAGTGGGAGCATCTGGGCAAGCTCGTAGGTGTGGAGGAGAGAGAACAGACCCGGGTACTGGCAGGTCAGGGCTGCCTCTCTGTTCTGTGCCTCAGTTCCGCCCTCAATTCCTGCTGGGCCCTAATCCAGATAGGCTGTCAGAGGCAAGACAGGTGTGAAGAAACGAAATAAGTTGTAGAGAAACCACAAAAAAGTAGAGCTTGTTCAACTGGAAAACAAATAGGTAGAAAGAAGCCTGGTATTTCAAAGCTGTTGGCATCAGCCAAGAATTTGACTGGAGGAAGTCACACGAAAAGTTGCACAATTTTAAAAACTGGCATCAAACTACACACTAGATTGGAAGCCCTGGGCAAAGCAATCCCACTCTGAGGTTACTGTGTCACCCTGAGGAAGTTTGGCGACCAATCTGGGCCTTATTTCCCTATCTTCACCTGGAAGGCTCTTTGGGCAAAAGCACCATCCTGGGGACAAGAGTAAAGCCCCCCCACCGGCCACCCCACCCGCCATGAGCAGAGCTGAGTCATCAGCAGGCCTGTGGGCAGATGGCCCATCAAGCTCCCAGGCACCAAGTGCTTCCCAACACATCAGAGACAGATGAATGGTGATGATGACAATGCTATTCTAAGTGATTTAAATGTATTGATTCATTTAACCCTCTAAACAACCTTACAAGGAAAGTACTATTATTATTCTTATTTTACAGATGAGGAAAGTGAGGTACAAAGAAATTAAATAATTTGTCCAAGGCCACCCAGCTAGTAAGCAGCAGAGCCAGATTCGAACCCAGGAGTCTGGCTCGAGTCCATGCTGTACCCAATATGTACCAATGTATTAACAACACACACACAATCATATGCGACTCCCGATTGGTGGGCCCTTCTGCCTGTGCTGTCATCCTCCTTTTTTTCCTCCCCAAAATGAGCTGAAAGCAGTCCCTACAGCCAAAACCAGCACTTCCATCCAACTTCATATTTGCCAAGCATCTGTTTCTACAGCAACAATAAGAGCTGCAGTTTTGGGATTCTGAAGAGAATGGGCAGGGAGGGAGGGTAGGGGACCCTTTATAGCAGAGGTCTCTCTTTCAGAGGCACAGAAGAGAGACCTTAAAACCAGTGGCCTAAGGAAGACACAGGGGCTGAGTGGGGAACCCAGGGCCATGATACAAACTGGAAAACTGCCTTTTCCTGGCCCAGAGACCCAGCCCTCTGGGTTGAGGCCAGCCTTCCTGTGGACAGAGAAGGTGAGGGCTGTTAGAAGGACTGGAAGCTGATGGCAGAGTACGGGAGAAAATGACAACCCAAACTAAACTCTGCAGTGTGTGTGTTTGTACGTGTGTGTGTATCTGTGTCCCAAGCCATTTCCAAGCTGGGTGTCCTGTCGCAGAGCCCAGTCCTGCTCCCCAGGTCAGGGCCAAGTAATGATGGGTGGAGGAAGGGAACAATAAAGAAGCCCTGGGAGAGGAATGCAGACTGGCACCCATGTGCCTGCTCGGGATGGTTCACCTCCCACGAGGGAGGGTGAGGGCATTTTGGGTGGGATGGTCAGGCTGGGACCCCTCAACTGCTCCAAGCCTAGGCCTCATTCCTACCTGCTGCCCCCAACCTCACTTAAACAAGAAACTCCTGTCATTGTTCCGAACTCCTGAGGCCAGAAGCAGGACCACTGCAGACTGCCAGTGCCGTGGGGGCTCTGCGAGGCAAAGCCAAGTGCTAAGGGGAATAGGGATGTTTGCTGGTCACTCGATTCCAGGAAGACAGCCCACAGCAGTCCCCCAGGCTTCTCAGGCGGCGGGCCTAGTTTCCATCTTGCCTCTATTGATCTTGATGCATGGCCAAGTGACTGGGGACTTGACCTCACCCTGTGCTTGTGTCCTTTAGAACTTGGGCTGCCTGCAGAGAAGGATGCAAGGCTGTGCCAGGCCCAGCCCAGGCTGTGTCCCCAGGGCCTGAAGTGCCAGGCACACAGACTGCCACAGCCTGGACAGTTCCAGGGAGGGCGAGGTAGAAAATGCCAGCCCTCCCAGAATGAACCTTTCACTGCTCTGAAGCCAGTGCTTCTGCAATCAGCTCCACAACCAAACCAGTCCACAGATGAAGGAGGTGGGGTGGGCAGGGGCAGGGTGCAGGACCCCAGCAGGAAGAACTAACACGAGGAGATAGCATCAGACCCTTCTCCTCGCCATGTCCCTAGAAGGCTCTGCTAGAATTTCCAGACACTTTCCCCTTGATGTGATGGGGCTGGGCATGAAACTGGTGTCCCAGAGAGTCACGACCGTCTCTTGCTGCCTGACAGTGCTGTCGCTGCTTGGCCTCTAGCCCATGCCACTGCGGCCGGGATCTATCTTTTAGCAGATGTCTTCTGTTCTAGAGAAAGCACAGGCTCCCTGATCACAGGGATGGCATCTTCGGCCTTTCTCCTCCACAGAACCAAGCCCACAGTGTGACACGGAGCAGGTGCTCACCAAGGCTTCTTGACATCCTGCCCTGATTGTGCTAAGGCTCCAGGCCACCAGCACCTAGCCTTCCCTACAGCCCAGAGCCTTGCCCCGACCCCCACTCCACTCGACACCCCACCCTCTTCTGCCCCAAAGCCAGGGGCAGCCTTACAGTCCCACTGCCAGAGAAGCGAGCCCAGGAAGTGCCCTGTGAGAAATCTCCCTCGCTGGGGGTACCCTGCATGCCACAGGGCCTGGCAGTGAGAGAGGCTGGGCAGGGAGGGAGGAAGTGAGTCAGCTCCTTGCAGAAAAGAGAACGGGAGGGAGGAGCCAGCAGAACTGAGATCAGGGGG